TGAGAATGAAGGAAGGGGTCAGAGTAATCAGCAAAATACAGCTCAGGATATTTTACAAAGTGATAACTTGAGTGGAAGTTTGATATTTAGTATTTTGCAGCAGAATCGGATACACCAGGATTCCGGCGTTGGTATGCAGATTTGCTGACGGCCTGCAAAACTAATAGTCTATCAAAAGTAATACGTAAGTACAGTGGAATCTCAGTTAACCGAGTTAATCCGTTCCGGCACAGAGCCTGTCATGTGAGACGCTCGGCTTGCAACATTTAACCAATCAGACTGCATCACTGATTGGCTGCAGACGGCCGTGTACTCAAGACTCAACGGCGGACACATCGGTAACGACAAGTTTTTAACTGAGCGAAAGCTCGTCAGTCGAAACACATTTTCTGCTATTAGTTCGCTGGTTACCTGAAACGCTCGTAGATGGTGAGGCTGCTCTTCACCCGATAATCCATTGTACTTTGGATATTGCTATTGATTTTCAATGCTTTCATTAATTCTAGTATAGTTGATACAAAACGAAAAAAACAGAAAGACGCTTTTGGACTTTTTGGCAACAAATCAAGTCCTTTTCGAATTTTATACTCGAAGCAAGTGCGTATTTGGGCTTCAAAAGGTTTTTCAATTCTCAAAATATTTTGAACCAGAAGTACAACTGCATGCGTTCCGTGTAAAGAATAACATAAATTCCTCTATGCCATCAAGAGCATATCATAAGGTGATCGTAAACTTTTCAATGCGTGTAGGCTGTGTTGTAAACGGCATGAGGCGCAGGAATAAGCGCAAAGATATGCCGCGCCTTACATTGCCCTAGTACGGTCGTAAAAAACCCTATAGACCCTTTTTAAATTACAAAGTGATTGGCTATCATCGGGGTATAAGGATAGTTAAAAGCGCACTTACACTATGAAAAATTTATAATACTTAAGTAGCGATATTTTAGGGACTAGTTTTTGTAGGTAGTCAAAAATAAGTATATTCAAATGCCGACATTCGGACCTATCTGAGATACCATGGGACGGTGTTGTAAGGTGTTCGAAATTGCAATGCCACGTAAATCATCTTTCCTGTGAAAAAGGGGTATATTAAAATGCGTCCACTGACTGTCCACTGAAAGACCGGTGTGGATGCTTTTCATGCACTCCACGCGCAGGTGTTGAGGGCTCCGGAACAACTCCCCCCCCAAAAAGCCTGGTTAAAGGGCCTTAGCCTACCTGTCCGTCATTCCGTACACATCCTTCAAGTACTGCTTCAGGTTTAGCAGCAGCAGGCAGGCGCGACTGGCATGAACCGCGTTCTGAACTGCGGTGAAACCGGCAGGCCCGGAGGAGACGATACGGGTCACCATGGCGTCCTCGTTCTCCTCGTCTACATACACCGAGGCGAGTGAAGTGGCACTCGATGTGGCTGCAAAGAAAGGACAGAGACAAGCGCGGAGGCGTGAGTATGCGCTTATTGTCAGAAAATAATCTGGCGTGAACACTAACGCAGTGTATTAATTTTATTCTTAAAGAAAGTCTGCAGAGCGAAGTGTTTGCGGAGATATAAAATGTCAGTGTATGGGAATTCAGTAGGGGACAGTGAATAGTGTCGGTTGTGTAGGTTACTCCGATAAAGCACGACCGATATAGTTGTTAACTTTATCATTCTAGATTGTCTGGTTCCATTAAAGGGAGTATATCTGCTTGAAACAGTTTAACACCATGCGTAACTGTCAAACTGGAATCAGTTCGGTTCGGTCAAACAAAGTATAACGGCTGTGCAGATTTGGATTACCAGAACAGCTTATAAAATTCCCTTCTGAGCAGCGTGCCTAACATGAGTGTCCCAAGCACAAGGAAAACAACTTCAGGTCACCAAGTCAGCATCAGAAAACCAATCAAACAGTCACAAACCTTCGCGACCGGCATTGAGTGCAGAGGAGGACGAGGAGGCCGAAGCGGCAGGCTTAAAAAGCGACGGTTTCGATGCGGGTGTGGCGTCGCCTTCCGCCTGGGTCTGCTGGTCTTCTGCTCCGGCTGTCTGTTGTGGCATAGACGAGGCCTGGTCTTCGGAGCTGCTGCCGCCAAGAGCAGCAGCGGTAGCACCAGCTGCGGATTCTGCCTCTGCAGCCCGCTGGGCAGCCATTGCCGCCTCAAAGGCGGCCTTGAACTCGGGAAAG